ATAATAATATATATATATATATATATATATATATATATATATATATATATATATATATATATATATATATTGTAATTTCCAGTTTGTTTCGATAGCACAAATGAGCCTGATTGCATTTAGCAAAAGAAGTTAGATTTAAACCTAGTTAACTAAATTAGCCAATTTTTAATGAGTCGATGATAACATCTGTCCTCTCCAATACTGCTTATTTAGATATGAACTTCGGACACCATGATATTTTGAAATATGCAGGAAGATTTTTTTCCCACAAACTCAAAACTAATCTTTTCTATTTCCAGTAAATTCTCGGAGCGATAAGTTCCATAGATCGATTTCCTACAAGTTGTCTAAATATTGCAAAATTTTCACATCCTGAGTTTTATTATTTTCAGTTTAAATGTTGCGGTGTTAGAGGATATCGAGACTGGTTGTACTCTTCATGGGGACGCGATACTCCCGAAAAAACTGAACTCGGAATAGGTTATCAATTCTTTCTCTTTCCTCTTTTTATTTACCTAGCATGTTTTGATTTTAATCTGATTCGTTTGTTGTAGGTTATTCGGATATTGGTAAGGTACCCCGATCATGTTGCAATGAACAGGGTATACGCGATTACCCAACTGATTGTGGATTAACTTTCGACAAGTTGGAACTTTGGACCTACGAACCTTTTATTTATTCGAAGGTTGGTTAGCTTTTACAAGAGTGATAATATCTTCTCAAAATATGACATTGTAGTTGACTGAAATGTGAATGTTATGTCAAGATTATTTGTCCCATTTATATTCAATTTATATATTATTTTAACTTTGGGAAGTAATTTATGATGCAGCCAATAGTCACCTGGATATTGCAATTATGGTCTGCGTTATTATGGGTATTACTAAAGTATTAGTGTCTTTTTATATAGAAGATGAATTCATAACTGGCAAAAGAAAGTAAAAAGCCATGAAACCCATTGGTCCATTTATTTGCTTACTTTTGATTTTGTTTAAATTTAGGGTTGTAGTGAAGCAATTCATGATGCAGCCAATAGTCACCTGGATATTGCAATTATGGTCTGCGTTATTATGGGTACTACTGAGGTATTTGTATCTTTTTATGATTGAGGATTTTCATTAAAATCAGTGCGACGGTTTTAATTAAACGATTTTTAACTTGATAAAATTCATTGCCTTCACTGCTAATTCCTCCCTTCGTATTTGTTCTATCTTCAATTTGAATACAAACGAAAAATTATATTTGTAACTTTTCTTTTTTTCCAGTTATTGGGTATGTTTCTAACGATGTTGTTGTGCTGCTGGCTAAACGTTGAACAACGGCGAAAAGCAAGCTTGTAAAAAAGTGTGGTTGACCAGAGAAGAAAAAGAGAACTTCTGATACGATGTAATAATAATAATAATAATAATAATAATAATAACAATAATAATAATAATAATAATAATAATAATAATAATAATAATAATAATAATAATAATAATAATAATAATAATAATAATAATAATAATAATAATAATAATAATAATAATAATAATAATAATAATAATAATAATAATAATAATAATAATAATAA